GTGTACAAATACTTATCACCTCCAATGTCATATATTACTGCCACTTCTTTCCCTCCTGCTTAAAAGCTTTCTGGAAGGTCAGGTTGTTCTTATAAGTAAAACTGGAATGTAGTGGAAGAGATGCAGAAAATATTTGGTTTTGGCAACCTTGGTGCTCTCTGAGCTTGGTTGTTTGCTTGCAGACATTTCATTATCTGACTAGGACTAGGTAATAATATCTAATGATGGTAATATCATTAATGCTATCAAGTGCATATTTATTTCCTGACCCTTCTTAAAATAAGGATCCAGGTCATAGGCAATTCCTTCCCCCTTTCCTTCTCCTAGCTAGCAGCACATTCACATTTCATTCCACATTTTCTAAAAAGTACCTGAAATGTACTTTGGTAATAGCACAGTATTATATTTTCTATCACCAGAAGAAATCCAAAGGGCAGCACTATCAAGTGCAGTTTATTTCTTTGAGCAATGCAATTCATATGTGGACATTTTTCTTGTCAGTTTGTAAACACTGGATTGTTCCAAGAAGTTAACTAATAGAGCAGTAGCTGTATCAATATTTTAATGATTGGTTGGTATTATTGGGTTGGGATCTTTGCTTAAAAGTTGCAAAAAACAGTGCATCACATCAATGGGAAACCTGCAGGAAGCAGAATCTTTGCTAGTATGGAGCTATCACCATCATATCCAAAATGTAAAGGCAAGACAAGTCATAATTAAAATGAGTGTGAATATAAAAGCCATAATTTTGTGGTAGTATTGCAAGGAAAGGTGACTACATTGATACCTATACGTTAGCCTAACTTATTATAACTCTGATCTCCGAAAGAGTGAGAGGCCTACAAAAATTGACTATTCATATAGTGAAGCATTCCTAAGCCATAAGGTCTAAAATATAAGAAACACACACACACACTGCAGAAGGAAATGTAGCACATGTGTGGTAACTATCTCCACATTTGTAATCAGATTAGGCAAACATTAATGGACAGCAATATGACTGAAAAAGAGGAGCAAGAAAATCAAGGATCTTTAAAGCTACTGCCCTGCAGCTCCTGTATTGCATGTCAGTACACATTAAGGTTACATATGTTTTGATTAATTCATCTTTGGTGTACTCCCATACTTTGCTTTAAATGCTGAAATGGCTAATACCCACATCGCCTTTTTGATTTTCTGGAGGCACCATTCTACACAACATGCTGGAGGGGGGCTTCTTTCGTTTTTGCTCACAGATGCAATTTGGGCCCACACCTGCATTTTGAGGCTTCCAGAGCACCCAAATTCTGCTATTAAAAATAAGTATAAAAATGTCAGTTTTCAATGCTATTTCTCTCCTTAATACAGTAAAATTACAGCATACATGCCACAAGAGTTTTAATATATTTATCTTGCCTTTAAAAATCTTCAACCTTCAAAAAAGCAGAAACAATTCCTTTTGAAGGCAGAAAATATTTTCTACCCTGTTGCCAGCAGCTGAAAAACTTGTCTGACTCATTTAGAGTTTCACCAAAAAACCTGTTTAGAGAAAGTAAAATTGCAAGGAGGGTGTGAAAGAAACATGAAGTCATTTGCTATACTCTTTTAAGTTACCAAACAAGCATTTTCAGATGCCTCATTTCTAAAGAAAAAGTCCTTTACCACTTTAACCCAATTAATAGCTTTGTCAAGCCGTTTACGCCTATGTTTATGTGGGCACAGCCTTACCCAACACACCTGTTCAGGCAGTTGGCTCTTTCTCTCTTCAAACACAGCATTAAATTACAGTATTAAATAGATCTCGTGATGCAATGGGTTTCAAAATGAATACCACAAACACATACTTGATACAAGATATGCCAAGGTTGATCATTCACTTCTCAACTGAGGCTACTTTTTTGAGATAATTTATAATAAACTAACTATTCTTTAATGTTTCTGGCTGTTTGTTCAAAAAATGTTTTTTGCTTTTGTTTGTTTTCAAAGTTTGAACATATTGAGGATTTCTGGACTGATATTTCTGAAGTATTTCTAGTTTTCTTGTTTTGAATTTTGTAGTAAAGAACTGCTAACCCTTCAGACAAAGTAAATTAGGTGTTGCATATTTATAGAATCATCATACTGTAGTTATTATGTTAGGTAAATAACAGATACTTCTCACATAAGTTAAACACTGAAAAACAAATTCTCAGTTTCTGTCACAATTGATTACTGATAAGGTTCAAACTGATTTACTTTTAACAAAATATATATGATTTGTAAGAGTTCAGTACAAATAGAACAATAACATACTACATGGCTGGCAGTAAAAGAAACCGAAAGTGTCATTATTATTTTTTTGCTGAAAGAAAATGGGAAAGGTATGTCTTTGTAGAATTCAACTGCCAAATGAGCACATGGAAATGAGTTCAACAGGTCATCATACAGCTGTATTTCAAGGATGCTTCAGCTTCAGCTAAATTTCCATCTCTCACTTAGTCTAAAATTCTGATTGAAAAACTGTTTATATGATCTTCCTTTAAATGAAAAACTAAAATTAATCCTTAAATTGGCAAGGTCAACTTGTTTATAGATTGTATAGATTCTATGTCTACAATTTTTACATTACATTAAATGTAGGTGCTTACCTAATACATATGATTTAGAGGTTAGGGTTACTATATGGATATTTATTACATTTTTTTCTTTTTTTTCCTCTACTGTACTGGTTGCTGACTTTAATAAAGTATACCTACCTAATCAACTCACAATCAGTTTGTAGGGATTAGGTAATAAACAATTAACTAGTGATGTCAAGATTTGGAGTCATAAGTCTCCAACAATGCCCTTAGAACATACAATATTTTTCTCAAGGAGAAAAATACCTTTTAAATTCATCCAATAATTCCAAATTTGGGACAAGCTGTCAAAGGCATATAACAGTGGGGTGATGGGTGTTTCAATAGAGAGTTGAAAGAACTGGCATATGTCTTATAATGATATGAGAAATGAAAAATAGTAATTATGATTACGCCATTACTTTATCTTAAAGGACAGATATTAGCTAATGTTTGGTGGCCTAACATATTAATTCAGAGATTATAGGTGTTCCCAGATTAAAATTGTGTAACTCCCTTGTCTCATTCTCACATTTTAGGAGTGAAGAAATTGTACAGGAATAGACATTTATTTTGCAGCTTGTTTATAAAGTTAAATGTTAACAAATCGAGGTAGTCCTCGACTTACAACAGTTCATTTAATGACTGTTTGAAGTTACAACAGGATTGAAAAAAGGGATTTATGACCATTTCTCACTTTACAACCACTGCAAGATCCCGATGGTCATGTAATCAAAATTCAGATGCTTGGCAACTGGTTCATACTTATGGGTAACTAACTTATCTACTGCAAAGATTCAATTAACAAGAAAAGGCAAGAAAGTTCGTAAAATGGGACAAAACTCACTGAACAAATGTCTCACTTAACAACAGAAATTTTGAGCTCAATTGTAGTCATAAGTCAAGGACTACCTGTATGTATGTATTTATATATGGTGTGTGTATATTATTCTTGATCTGCCCTTCTTGCTGAGGATTACACTTCTTTTTCAGTTTTTTGCCAGGAGACATGCTGCAAAATATGAGTTAAACAAAAAGTAAGTTTGATTTAATTTATATTAAATTTGATGAAATATTCCTCATATAAATAATACATTTCTCTTCTACGGTACTAAAAATTATAGTTCCGTAACAATTTTTGAAAATATACTATGTCAAAACTTGAGAGGGGAAGGGGGAATTTTTAAATTTAAATATGAAAAATGTATTTGATGTCTTTATTTCTGGTTGGGATGCAGACAGAACAATTTTGAATGAAGGGTTTACTTATACTTTCTTTTTTAGTGCTTTTTTTAAAAAAACAGTGCGCTACTCAGTTTTGTGATCCCAGTGGTGATCATGATAAAACATATTATATGTTTTATTATTGTTGGATTTCAATGGAGAAAAATCAGTAACTGTGGTATATCCCAAATTACAAATTGTAGATGACCAAGCTGAGCCAGAGGGTGGGATCAAATCCATCATCAGTTTGGAGTCTCTACCCGTCCCCAAGAGATGTAAATCCAGCCCTCTTGAAGTCCATTGAGTCTTCTCTGGCACCGATGTGCGTTAACCATTAGGTCAGTTCAGATTCTTGTGTATAGGTAGCATGAAATAAGCTTGAAGTACTTTTGAATTCTATTCTGGCTCCTGACAAATAAGTTCCCAAGTGCTGAAAGCTATATTAGCAAAACCCACACTTCTAACATATTGGAAATGGAAATGTGGAAGTGTAAATAGAAGTAGCTGCTCATGCTTGCTGTACTACCATCATCACATTCTGATTGTAAAGAACATTTAGAATATAAAATGATTTTTACATGTTCAATTTTGTATCTTATTATATTCAGCATACCTGAGCATATTTTTGATGAATTTCAAGTTTAAGAGGAGTAAAGGAAGATAAATCGTTACACAGATAGATAAAATGTCACTAAACCTGAATTATTTGCAGCGACTTAAAAATTATACAAAATACAATCTATTAAATGTAAAATTACGTTGTAGATGTGATTTCAGAACGAGCAAAGAAGTATTCACCAAAACTTCCAAAGTAGTACCGAATGTTTAAAATCCATACATGAACAGGAACTTCTGAAGACGTCACTTGGTTGTCAATGGCAACACTCTCAATATGGCGCCATTTCGCAAGGGTAATAGGCCCGTCATTAGGCGGTTATACGATTACGTAATCGGGTGGGGAATGGTAAAGAAACTTAACTGCAGCTTTGGAGCCTAGAGTCCAAAGATAATGGCAAGAGGCGATTACATTATCGAGCCACAGTTGGTTGTTTCCTCTGTCAATCAAATCATCTGGTTCAAGGAACCAAGCGAACATTAAACGGATTGGGTAATTTATGTTGTCAATCAACGAGCACCGTAGCCGGCCCTCTAACCATCGTGATTGGCTTTTCCTCTTGACGGGTTTTTTTTTTTTTTTTGCCTCTGTTAACATTTTTATCTGTGTGGATTCTGACTGGCCGTTAAGCTGTCAGTCGCTGTGAGGTTCGTGGTTAGGAAATAATGTTTACTTTCTGAGTGGACAAACAAGCTGTCATTCATCACAATCGTTAAAAACGATTGGGCAAAGCTACACAGAAGGCAGGAAACCTTGTGGTAGCAGTCGAATGCCGCTGTATGGGCTTAACACCGGCATTGAGGCAAGGCCTCCTGAAGGTAATCGTGCGTGCTGGACGGTGGTCGCTGGACAGGGAAGGTATACAGATGAAATGATGGATTTCTACGACGGGAAGTTGATGGAGAAAGCCTAAGCGGGGAAAGGATAAAGGGGAGGAGTGCTGGAGAATAAAAGAAAGGATTGCATACTTGGGGGTGGGGGTGAAATCTGGGGAGAAAAGAGGTGGAGGGGGTGACCCAGAGAGGCAGCCTGCAATATATATGGTGGGGTGGGGTGGGGGGGGGGGGGGGGAGGAGAATTGAGAGGCGTTGGCGGGGATGGTTGAGAAGAAGATGGAGGTAAAAAACACGAGACGAAAGACGGGAGGGCCAGGTAAAGGAGGGGGCTGGGAAGAACAGGACTGAACGAATAATATGAATCGAAGAAAGGCGACTGCGGGGGAAACGGGGATCAGATGCAGGCTGGGCAGAAACGAGGTGGGGTTTTGAGTCCAGAGGAGCCTCGTGGAAGGAAAGAGATGAGTGGAAGGAGGGTCGGGAGGGAACAAGGTAAATGAGTTCAGGCGTGGGTGGGCTGTGGAAAGAGCGAATAGATGGGGTAATACCGGTATAAGGAATTTAAAGGGCACTAGGTGGACTGGGAGAGAATTTTAAAAAATGGGAAAAGTTAGGAGGTAAAAAGTTAACCTGAGAAAGTGAGGATCGGGGAAGTGCTTTCCCCTTCTTGTAAGAGAAATTCGATAAGGGGATGTGGGATAGGCAGGATTTGCTGAAAAACGAAATGGGGGAGGGGGTTTCTGAGTGGGTGAGGCACTCCTAGAACATAAGAAACGGAATGAGGTTGGTCCTATAGAAGTAGAAATGGAGTAAAACCAGATAGTGGAGGAAATGCGAGCCTAGCAAAAGTAATGGGTGGGGAATTGTTTCTAGAATAGAAGCAGTTTGATATTTAATTGTATTCTCAGGCCTGTGTGTAGTTAATGGATGTGTTGCAGGCCAAGAGCTGTTCTGTTTAATTAAAAGAACATTTGCATAGTATTCTGTGACTTAATAATTAGCTTGTGGGAGTTAGCAATCCTGACCTATTTTTTTCAGGGTTCTTATATTTGAAATCCAAGACAAAAAAAAAAAATTGAAATGTGGGATTATATAAAATCTTAAGAAAATATATACACTAGATCATGGATTAATTAATTAAGGGAAAAAATCTTGCCTGTTGATCTCTTGTTTAGAATCTCATTAAATGGGTTGCACTCCCTACTGGATAGGAAAATAATGCTTTTGAAACGAGATAATGTTAACTTTTGTATATCACATTATAAAGAGATATTATTTTAAAAATGACAGCTAAAGTAAAAAGGTTTACTTTTGTTGGAGTTGTACTTCCTCATTGTTCTGTGTGCTGTAAATAGGACAAAGTTCAGGCTCTTGTGTGAAAAGATTTGTGGTAGAATTCTCTAAGTTCTCTCTTATGTCATTAGTTTGCATTTTGAAGAGTTTAAATTTTTAATTGAGATTGTAGTGAGAGTCCAGAAAGTCTTAGCGATTGAGAAAGTAGGATTAATGAGGGAACATAAGAAAGAAACTGTCTGGTGGAGAATTTTGGCTCTCATGTCTTTCAAAACAACTACTACTTAGAAATCAGGCGTCTCTGATGGAAATAGAAAAAGGTGCTGAAATATGATAGTAGAAGCATAGATTGGATTAGTCTGTGTATATGGTTGCTGTTCTCAATAGATCAAGGTATGGCTTTTGGAATTCTTATATTCTATTTAATTTGAAATGGGAGCAGATGATGCAATAGTTGTGATGTAGATTTTAAAAACAATTTCAAATTAATTGAAGGAAAAAATGTATTGAAAAGCTCAAGACACGAAAGCCAAAAAATCCATCTTGTGGCTTTATATTTAATTCTAAAAATTTGAGCTAGCAATGTTTTCTGATAATATATGTAGAATTATTGTGATGGGGTATTGATCTTCCTTATCCTCATATTTCTAACTTTTATCAGAAAATGGTTTTATATGTTTTCAATGTTTAATTCATTTTGATATATGCACTTTAATGGCAATTTAATATTGAGTGTACAGAGATTTTATTTCTTGAAGCTTGCTGTACACTTACATATGAAAGTATAAGTATAAGTAAAGTATTTGATTGTAAATGCCATCTTATCCATAATTTTCATTGGATAGATAATTGGGGAAATGAAAGAAGCTCTATTTTTCCCAAATAAGTTCTAAAATTTAAATGAATCTGCCAAATACTGACCTGCCAGCAGTTATATCTCCTCTTTCAAGAAGGAAGGCAACATATGCTTTCTATAAATATTGACAATCAAACTGATTGAGAATCAGAATGCTCAATGATTGGGAATCAGGGAAAAAGATGGGCAGAGGTCACTGGGAATACCTGTAGGTATTAGTAATGCAAGAGTGTAGAATCATAAGCCCTGGCAGTTCCTGGAGTAAGGAAAAGAGCTAAAAGAATCTGAATAGCTAAAGCAAAGATCCATGCATATATTAGAAGCTATACTCTTTATTAAATCCAGTAATTTCTTCAGTAGGCATGAAGTTATAGGCATGACTTGGGAGAAATAGTTGCAGACATAGCTCTTGTGCTGATAAATTGCAACATCCCTAATGCTCAAAATGAATTTAAAGTCCTTTTAAATTACTCAGAAATTTATGCTGAATGAAGGCATAATCAGCAAGTTTAAACATCACCTGTACAGTAAGGTCTCAGTGGTGAGAGAATAAAAGGAGGCAAGCACCAGTATTGTTTGGAGTGTTGATATTTGTCTCTTGCTGGGTAATTAGATACCAGAAGCCAAATTGATATTTCCTTGAACTGTCCCCCCCCCCCCCACCCCTCTTATGTTCAGACGTTTCTGATTCTTAGAGACTGTCTGGACAAGTCCTTGTAGCTTTCTTGGCAAAGTTTTCCAGAAGTGGTTTGCCATTGCCTCTTTCCTAGGGCTAAGAGAAAACGACTATCCCAAGGTCATCCAGTTGCCTTTGTACCTAACACAGGACTAGAACTCCAGGTCTCCTGGTTTCTAGCCTAATGCCTTAACTACTACACTAAATTGGTTCCCCCAACTGTAGGATAATGCTAAATTATTTGGCTTTTTTTTGGTCATATTTTTTGTTAAATTAAATGTGCAGTCTGCATCATATTTCTAGGCTGTACAAAATAAAAAAGTCTTGAACTGATTTAAAATACGGTGCCTTTTAATGCCTCTGTTTGATTTTTTTGGGTGTGTTTCAGTTTCTGATGAAACTTGCAGCAAGCAGCAGAAAAGTCTTCCCTATTCTGGAACCCTGTACTCTTTAACTGCTCCTTCAGGAAGCCTTTTAGAGAGAAAGGAAGAAAGAGGGGAAGATCAAACTTGCAGCTGTTCTAGAAAACTTGTTCCATCTTGCAGTTGCGAAGATTCAAGGAAGTTGCTGTGTGGATTCATTAAGGCAGTAAGTCACACAAGTTAATATGCTTTGTTTCATTGTAAAACAATTTTGTATTCTGAATAAGCTGTTCCAGAATAAAAGTCCACTTAATGAGAGTTTTTTATTCTGGAGATTTCTCAAATTTATTCATAATCTGAATTCATTTAGATTTTCCTTTAAAATGGAATATTTTAAAGGAAACTATACAACATTTGTTGTATAGTATATAGAATGATATCTCACTAGAGATATTTGAATATTTTTATATTTATTCTAAATATACTTTTTCTTTCTAGAAATGCTTTCTCTGAAGAAATATTTTACTGAAGGACTCATTCAGTTCACCATTCTTCTCAGCTTGATCGGAGTGAGGGTGGATGTAGATACTTACCTAAATTCACATCTCCCTCCCTTGCGGGAGATCTTTCTGGGCCAGAGCTCTGCATACACTCAAACACAGTTTCACAACCTTCGAAACACCCTAGATGGCTATGTTATACATCCCAAAAGTGTAGATCTGGACTACTATTTTACAGCTCGACGGCTTCTCAACCAAGTTAGGGCCTTGGACAGGTTTCAGGTGCCCACCACTGAAGTCAGTGCTTGGCTGGTACATCGCGATCCTGAAGGTTCTGTCTCTGGTGCCCAACCCAATACAGGCATTTCCCTTGAGAATGGCAGTAGCTTGCAAAATGGAACTGCTTCAGACAATGTAGTCAGAGAAAATGCAATGGAACAAGCATATAGTGAAGAGTTGGAAGACCTAGGTGCAGTGGCTCCTCCACTAAATGGTGATCTAACTAAAGAGGTATGTATAGCAATATTCTATGGGATAAGCTAAGAGAAAGAAAATAATTGTTTGAGGATCTCTGTAACTTTCATTAATAAATATATTGATTATTGCCAATATTTAACATTTCTTTGATAAGAGTGCAACAACAGTATTAGTAATCTATGTTGATACATGGTGTATATCCAAAAGTCAGACCTCATAAACAATTTATTATATAAAATACATTAAATGTTGCTATTTTCTTCTAAACCAATGGTTCCCAAACTTTTTCCTTCATTACCCAAAGCTACTTTTTAGAAAGTTGAATTTTGAGGACAGGTCATAAGTCACTTTGTTCAGCATCATCATAACCTTGAATGGTTACTGAATGCTTGCTTGTGACTCAAGGACTATCTGAATTAAAAACACAATTCAATGATCTTTATATTATTTCAGCAAATTACCGTTGATAATTTCATTGATTATCATCTTAATAGGAATACTTTGGGAGATTTTTGATTATTTTTGATACACGTAACCATCTTTTGTGATAGGAAATGAGTTCAGGCAAAAGAAAAATACGAAGAAAAACTCTTAATCCAATTTTGGGTAAATTATATGGATTTGAGAAATGTTCTAAACATTTTCTTATTTGTTTGACAAATGACCTTTGAACATTTCTAAGAACCATAAAATTTTCTTTTTAGGAAAGGAATACAATAATCTTATGGGGCATCATTTTTGGTACACCTTGGATATGTTACCTTAGGTTAAATGTTTTATTTTGTCTTTTAGTTTTGTTAAATACTTTTTTAGATGGAGGCATCTCAGTTAATAATATCATCTGCTTAATTTGTAGTAATAGATAATTTGATTGCATGTTTTAAGTTGGTGATGAGTTAATCAATTTTAAATTCTTTCCAAGGAATTTTTCTAGTATGTATTTAAGAAAGCGAATGCTTTATATTCTTACTAAGCAATAAAAACTATTATTTGCAGTTTTCTCCTTTTTTCTCTTTCTGCTGTCCTATGTTATTTACTTTATAAGGGTCTGTTCTGGTTTGCTTTGTTTGTACTGTACTTGTGTTTTATTTAGTGATGAGTTCAGTTATTTACATGGATGCTGAAGTCTTTCTCAAACACATGGTGATATAGAACTACTTCCAGACCATCCTTAATCCCTGGTAGTTTATGTTGCAAGTGGACTGTGTTACTAGAGCTGGTATCTAGGCTGGGGGGGTGTTGAAGCAGCTGTTGTGACTATCTTCCTCTCTTGTCATGTTGCCTCATCTCTTTCATAGGCAAATATAGAGTAAAGATTTCAGAAGTTTTGCCCTTGAGAATATAAAAACGACATATAAAAGTGACATTTGCTTTGCATGGGAGGCTTTCAGTTGAAGTAAAAGTAAGTCAGTAGCAAGCTGAGAAAATCATTTTGTTATGAAAATATAAATACTGTATTTTTTAGAACAAGAAATCAAGCCACTTTTGTAGATCTTTCAACCCTCATGTCTTAAAGGCACTTAAATCTAAAATGGCAATAATAAATGCCATTTTAATAAAATTTAAAATTTAAAAATGAGATAACCCTTCCCAAGTATAATTATGAGGCTGACTAATATGAAAAGTTGTCTAGACTAAAGGTCATTTAAAAAGAGAAATTTTGAGTTCAGTTGTGGTCGTAAGTCAAAAACTATTTGTATTGGGGTTGTTATGTTTTTACAGATTTGAAGCCAAGATATTTGATAGCCCTTGGTCATGAATCTGAAAATGAATACTTGTTTGCCGTTCTAAATTCATGAGGCCTGCAAAATATTTTAGTGGTAAAGATGAATTTGTTAAAGCTCATCTGATTTAGATTTCCATCAAACTCTGATTGATAAAGTCTAACATTTGATTTAGTGATAAACCTGCTTAGGAGCTCCTCCTCTGGAATTATGCTGTCATAAATAAAGTATATTTCCATGATTTAGTTTGAAGTTATCACTGATTATAGCGCAATGGCGTTTTATGATTAGTACAAATTAGAGAATGAATCTGTGGTTCATTTTGACATATAGGACAAACAAAAAGTTAGTATACTATACTTTTATAGCTAAGTATTTTGGTCCTTATTGGTCCTTTCATTCTCTTAGACTGCTCATCCTTTTATGGCAGTTATGTACAGGCACTGTAATTTTTCACATTACAGAAGCAGTTGAGCATTTGATCTGTAATCTTATGCAGTATAATATGTATTATGGCAAACAACTAGAAAGTGGTTTTCCTTAGAATAAATTCATGACAAACTTGAGCTCTATATATAACTGTTAAGAATTTCTATAATAAATTATTTAATATATAGTACATGCTGATAAGATTCTTTTTTGTTTGCTTACTAGCCAAAGGAATTAATTTTATATGCTTCTGTATTGGAATCTAGATACAGGGAACACAAATCTATAGGGCAGTGATATGGGCATAATATTTAGATTCATTGAGGCAATATATTGCTCTCTTTTCAGGAGTGCAGAAGACTAAAAATACATGTAGTTTGGAGTATAAATAGATAATTTAAAAAATTATGAGATGGAAGATTGGATTCAGTTCAATCTTAATCAGGAACTCCCTGAAAATATAACATGGAATTCAAAATAGATGACTTAATACATTTATTCTTGAGCTCTGGCTGTTTTGTATATACAGACTACATATAAATGAACAGAAATTCTGTGGAGGAAATAAGTTACTTAGAAAAGCTTTCTAAAATATATACATCTTCAACTGGATGCTTGCCTGATGGTTGTACATTTTTTATTTTTAATATGTATTTATATTTTTATAATATACCCTATCAGAATCTGAGAATACATATAAAACTAACAGAATGTGCTAATCCTGTACATAATTAGTTTTTATACAATATTTATCAATTATGTTTTCCACATCTTTCAAGTTTATTACTGAAATTATTATTGTTGTATAATGGATTGGCACTTTGCCAATATAAGCAATCTCTTTTCAGTCCAGTGAACAGGATATCTTTTTAAAAGTAGAGGTGAAATGAGTGCAATGGGTTATCCATCCAACAAAACTTAATGGTGGGGCATGAATTCTTGAACTTTTAAAATACAATTGGCCATAGTTCCCAGAACCCCATCTTTTTTTCTGCCCATTGGAGTATCATTGAATTTCAGTGACATCACTGAAAATTTTGCAGTGTCCTGCAACATTTGATACCTGAAAAACAGGAATTTTGTTTACATAGTTAATACCTCCCTCCCAAATCAAAACAAAACTCTTAACACCCTTGAATTTCCTGAAGAACCAAGATGAACATGTCCCTTATTCTTTGGGGTAATTTGCATCCTCGGCCTCATGGCCTAGATATGAAATGTGGGCCTCAATTATCAGAATGGTATCAAAGTTTTAATAAGCTCTATCATGAAATTACTGTTATAGGAATTAGATGTATTTGAATTTGTTTTTATTTATTCAATTTGTATTCCACTGCAGTCTCACAATTTACAGAAGTTTTTTAAGGAGTTGGGTACTGCTTTAGATAAAAAAGGTCAAGTATTCACTTAGCTTTGAAACTAACATTTGTAGCTTGTCTAAATTGGCTAAGTTGACAGGCTTTTATTACTACAATTTGTTTAGTTCTAAAAAAAATGTATTATGTGAATTCAGTCATTTATGACTTATTAAACAAACAATTGCGTAACATATTGGGTAAACCTAACTCGGCTTAATTGATAGTTGTGAGGGGGAATGCAGGATATGTCAATAACCAATAGATTATTGTTATAAGAACAATGGAATAGAGCTATGCTGTTCCTATCTGAGAGTATAAATCTACTGTGTGGCTTTAGACTTTCTCTTGCTTCCTCTTAAAATGTTGGGGAACGGGAAAAGTTACCCACCTCACAGAGTATTATTGAATCGCTTTATGTATAGAACATTCTTACTATAAAAATGGTTAGACTGCAGTAAAAAGGGCTTCTGGATAAAAGAACCCACCCCAATATAGATCTGAGTTTTAGGATTTTGATGACTGTTGTATTATTACAAAGTACTAGGCGTGAATGCTGGGATTATTTTGGGGTAAATCTAAGGTGTTCTTTTCCTTTTTCTCCCCCCCAAATTCATACAGCTTCCAAATGAATTCTAATATGTGTATTTTAAAAACTCATTTTTAGTATATTTTCTTTACTATTGGATGTAGTAAATTGAGGGTTTTAAGTGCTTAGTCTGGACAGAAAGGAATTAATTCTAATCCAAATATGACAGGTAAGCATTATTCAGGCCTTAGAACATTTTTTTCCCTTACAGTTTCCAAGGAAAAGTCTATCTCTTACAATAACCACATAGGTATTCCTGAAGACATTGCTAGATGGGATGGTTTATTGCCGTGATGGGGAACCTATGGCACAGGTGCTGGAAGCGGCATGCAGAGCCATCTCTCCGGGCACACCAGCCGTCGCCTGTTGCTCTTCCGGGTTCTGGCGCACATATGCCTGCTGGTCTTCACATGCGCAGTAGCGCTGGAAACCAGAAGAGCAGCTTCCTGGCATGCATGTGCACACCGGGAAACAGCTTCTGGTTTCTGGCGTGCATACGCACGCCGGCCAACTGGTCTTTGAAAACTGGAAGACAAGGTGACAGGTGTGCACGCATGCACACTGGGGAAACTGCTCTTCCGGTTTCCAACACTTCCCCGCGCATGCACACACAAATTTATGTCAGGTTTAATTGTTTTATTTCTGATTGCTATTTGAAAATCGAAAAAAATAATTTCCTGTTGACAGTTGAAAATTAATTTCTGCACTGTTATAAAAAACTTTAGTAGTTTTTAGTCTATAAATTGAAAAAAAAAGTATAATTCCTTTTAAGAATTTTAAATCACAAATAACATATCTAGAGGGGAACAAGGTCTGTTAGCATATATTATATATATATATATATATATATATATATATATATATATATATATATATAATATATATACTTTTTAATTCATAGGTTTAAATGTATGATATTTTTGTAATCAGGGTTTT